CAAACACCACAAGAATATGTAGGAATACGGTGTCTGAATGATTTCTCTTCATCCCTGAGAAGTTTCTCTATGGCAATCCTGTGCTTAACTCAGGCACTCACCCTAGCTATGAATATTGACATAGCTCTTTGCTCACATATGAGGTGCTTGTTTCTCTCTAGAATCTATCAGAGCTTCCTTGCATATACTGGACTTCCCCACACAACAATGGTAATTATTGTGTCTGGGTTTTTCTTGTTTCTATGAGACTCATTTACATCTTTCTACATCCTAACTGGAAACAGAAGTTTCTCACGTGTCTTGAATTGTCAAATAATGAAAGATGGTGAAAGAACTGTCTTTTCCATTCCCTTACTTTTCCAGGCATCGGGAATTCGAAAGACTCTTCATGTCTGAGTAACATCAATACTGAGGATAAACTACCCCACTCAGGGCATGATAGCAGAGTCAGTGTCTAAGAAGGTGTGCTAAATGCCAAAGAATGGCTGACCCAAGCACTCCATGAGCTGTTCCCTCCTGGGAAGGCTATATGTGACTTCCTTTGCTTTCCCAAAGCAGTACTTTTATTAGTTTGGTGGTCAGAAGTTCCAAAGTCAGGTCCAAAATTCAGTACTCCACGTTATTAGGAAATATGTTTTGTGTTTTTTGGTGTTCTGCAGCATACATATGAAAGCACATTCTTCAAAAAATAGCTCTTTTATGGTATTTCTATGCAGTCCTGCATTTCAGTGAAGTCCATATCTGCACCACAATAGCTGGATAATTATGAATACCTTTTACCTGTTACTAAAATTGCTAATGAAGTTTTGAGTGCCAGAAAATAACCTTACCTTATCTTAGTTCTTTAAAGAAGGCTCAACTGGATGTCTTCACTTTTTAAAATAATTTGCTGGCAATCACATCCTTAAAGTTTGCAACAAGAGAGTTAAATGGACGTGTGATGAAAAATAATTTTTTTCTGGTGAGTGCACTATTTATAGTATAATGGCTAAGATTTTTTTTAATATTTTGAATTTATCAATGGAACATTTTCTGATTAATTATATTTGAGGCTCCTTCCCTTACAGTCATGTTTATGTTTTAACATGATGTGAGCCTCAGTCAGTTCTACCTTCATATGAAGAATATTTTAATCTGCTCGTCTCCAAAATACAAGTCCAATAATTATTAGTTAAAATTCATTCATGTCAGTCTTATGATGGTTCAGGTGACATTATTATTTTGAATGAAGGGCAATGATGCTTTCTGTAGCACAGGCTCCTCAAGCTAAGTCTTATCTTTTGTGATGCCAGGCCAGTCCTTCAGGAAGTATCTTGCTAGATTTGCAGTTTCCTGCTTCTCTCTTCCTTGATGAGGCAGGAAAGTGTAGAGTGCCTGGTGTGTCTCTCCCAACCCCACCCCAAATATACCGAAAAGGAGAGGAAATGTTAGCAAAATGCATTCTGCCGTTTGTAACGCCCCCCCCCCACAAAAGGGGCCATAGACCAAGGATATGATTCATTCTGGATATTGTGAAAACAAAAACTCACTTAATGAGTTTGAATGCCATACTCCCAGGATAATTCCCAGGACCGCTGTGGGAAGGATAGAAGAAGAGCAGGAAGGAACTTTTCTTTCCAGGAATTCATTTGTCATGCTCACGCTGACATGTAGAATTCCAGCATACAGCATCGGTTTTGATTTTCTTCTATGCTTCCCATTGTTTCCTACTCTCAAGAAGATCCTCACAGTCAACAAGTGCAGTATTTATAAAATTTATGATTTCTCAAGTTATTTCAGTGGAGGCAGCATGGCTATTTCCCATTCTAAAGGCACTGTGAAAGTTTAAAGATCTGAAAACTCTAAACTGGGAATATCATATCCACACTGGTTTAGGCCTACGAGCTTGTGTTCTTTCTTTATTGGAGTTTGGTGAGTGCTTACACCTTCAGTGAAATTATTCAAGAAAAGTAAACCTAACAGTGTTACTAAGTTTTTTAATAAGATGATCCCTAAATGTCTAATACTAGTCTGCCCAAGGAGAGTCTGTTTTAAAAAATAATCCTTTCCAATTTTGTTTTGTTTTGTTTTGATTGGAGTAGGGGAACACATAAGGAAAAAAACCATACCAAACTTTGTTTGATGAATTTCTCCTTTCGTTCTATAAGTGTAAGCATTTCTAATATGCTTGGCCCGGACTTTGCTTTACTGGGGCATTAAAAATGAAGGTAGCAAGTAAGAAATGAAAGAAAGAATTCTGTTTCCAACAAATGGATGGCATCTGTGTATTAAGACCAAGATGTGTGCACTCTTGCCAATATCGCTTCTCTTGCCAGATGGGTTAGGACTTCGGATGCTGAGATATTTCCCAGGAGATTGAGGGAGTGATTTAACAACTCCTGGAAAGGCCTGAGCTCTTTACTGCTTGTTCTATTGACTCCTTCAGTAGCAGACTATGGATCCATTCAGAATAGTTTTTCCCCTAGCAAACCTGATAGAATTGTGGATCTGTTAGCTGCATTCCAATGTTGACTTCTCCAGTGCCCCACTTGATATGCTTTGAGAGCAAGAATAGACACAGACCTCTCATGCACCTCATATACTCCTTTCGTGTACTCTATTTCCATCTCTCATTGCTTCCTTCCATGAGCACTTACTGGAAACATTATGCTGGTGACAGGCACAGTGATGATAACCTATTTCCTATTTGTTTAAAATTATTTATTAGAATGCCATTAATCTTGATAGGAGAAAATATTATATAAGTAGTATTTTTCTGAAATAATTATAGAGTATTGATGGTGTCTCTAGATAGTCGAGATTTTGAGTTAAAATGAATTAAGATTGCTTAATTATGTTGCTTAAAGGAAGTCAGCGTGATACTTAATAGGATGACAAAATTGAATATTATAGTTCATCTGCAAAAAAGAAAAATTCAACTCTAGTTGATTTTTCCTTCTTCATTATTGGTATCATCTTCTACATTTATGTTGCCTCTACTGGGAGCCACATATCTTATCCAAAGCACCTTAAGGATATATTGAATAGAATTAAAAAGAAGCTAACATCTGTCTGAAAGGAGATACTATAGTAGGAAGGTACTCTACTGGAAAGAATTTTCAGTTTGTATAGGTATCAAAAATACATTGATGCTTTTGCATTTAAGTGTTTTTTATTGGATTTTTTATCGTGAAAGGAATAGACAGTCCTTTTTCTATTATGCCATGAAAGACAAACTTTAATGTAGCATTTGCCCTTTGGCTGCCAAATCTTCACTATTAGCACAAAAGTTCATAAGTACAAGGGCTTGATCTTCTTTACTGGCCATGTCTCCAGCATCTACACTAAGCACAGAGTAGGAACTCTATGATTTTTCACTGAGTGCGTTGGTTCCCATGTATTATGCAATTACATGCATTTGTATGATATTCCTATAGCTTTCAAAACATTTTTCCTAAGGTTATTTTATTTGACTATAACCACAATTTTGTGAGGAAGGTAGCACAGATATTTTATCTTGGTGATACCCAGTTCCAGTGGGTTGTAGCTGACCTAGGATGGGAGAGGGCCCAGATCATAACAGTCCTTTGGTTCTTTATATTGATCATCATCATTCAATAAATGCTTCTTATTGCTATAGGCCAGTCACTATGTTAAGTATTCTAACTGAATTATTTAACCTTTGCTCCAGCCCCTTGACACAGAATGATCTTCTTTCTATTTTAGAGGTGAAGAGCTAAGGCACGATGAAGTTAGGTAACATATGCAAGGTCACACAGCCAGTAAGCATCGGCACTGGGGATTAGGCTCACGCAATGTGAGTTCCCAACCTAAGCTCTCAATGTGGCCTAACCACTGCCCGACAGTTATTAGGATATCCCGCTAAAATGTTTGTTAGTGTACATACTTGAGCCAAATAACTACCATGGTGATTTCCTAATGACTTTATGAAATTATTTGCTGTCATTGTAATAGATGCTGGTTGAGTATTTCAATACATTTATAAGCCAAAGATAATTGTTGGTGTAAGTTGTGGGTAAAGAGATGAACGATACAAAAGAAAAAAAAAAGAAAAGAAAGAAATGTGTGCATGTGGTAGATAGGTTGCCAGCATTACAGGTGAGTCAGATTTGTCATCCTTCTCTTATAGAATAAGGTACCTCCCAGGTGATGGAGAGTGAGTCTGAAAAAAAAAATATTCAAGGCAGCTGCATATTTGTCAGGTTAGGACATACCTACATTCTCATAAAAGGAGGAGAGCCACCCAGTGCCAACCAAATGGGATGATCACGGCAGAAGAAAACCTCGTCGGAACTCAGCAGTGTGCTTTTTAATGAATGTTTTAACCTGCCTATTCCTGTATAAATGGAAGTTCTGTCTGCAGCTTGAGCTCTCCTCAACCATGTGTGAAGTGCCCCTCATCCTGACTCAAATACCCATGGCAGCTGAGAACACACTAAAGGAGCCCTTGCTCCAAGCCCAGAGAGAGTTCCACTAGCAATAAGCTACAGTGGTTGAGAGTACAAGGACTGTGTATGTGGGACGAATACATTAAAATCAAAATTGCTCTAACTGGAGTTCCGCTTGCATACGCAAAGCAGTGCAATAATAAAGTGGGGGAGGAAGAGTAGACTCCTTAGCGTTAGTTGTAACCCGCAAAACTAGAGACTAGATTGCAGGATGATAAGATAATAGGAAGGCCGCTGGACCCGGCTCTCCATCTGGGCGGATAACAAATCGGCCGAGGTGGCCTAGGGCAAGTCCTGTCACCTCTCCATCGTCACTGCCTTGTTGGTCACGTTCTATAGATTGAATTGTAAATCCCACCTAATCATACCTAAGATACATAGGTAAATGTATTAAATACTTCTTACATATTTTCCAAGTATATGAAACAGGTGTCCGATATATAATGTACACTCATTGAATGTGAACTCTGTACCCACTGCCACTGTGGTACTTCTGGAGGTTGTACTTACACCCAAAGTCGCCTTTCCTCACTCAGATTTCCTTTTCCACAGAGCAAATTGGCCAGGAGATGTTGGAAAACCTCAGTCATGACAGAGAAAAAATACAGCGTGCACGTGAACGAGTAAGTAGAAGTGATACAATTTTTTTCATAAATTCAGTAAATGAGAAGACATAAAACAAAAGGCCTTCAGCACATGCGTAGACAGTAGCAATGACATAAATATAAGTGTGTATAAAAATGGCAAGGGTATATGAGGGATGTCGGGTAAGGGGAGAAGAAAAAAAGAGTGTGGAATAGAGAAAGGATAAGCTAACTCTTCCTTTCCCCATCCCGGAGTGGCCCCAGGTAGATATTTTATTTAGCTCTCTAACAGTAGGTCATGAGGGAGATTTTGGAGTATGTCAAGTCTTTCAGAGTGAAAGCTGTAAAGATAATGATGTCTCCTCCTCCCTCAGTTTATTTCCTTTCCTTTCATATTTCTAGGACTTCACACGTTCAGAATTGGATTTTAATTATGAGATGTGTATTCAACTTTGTCAGTCTGCGAGATAATTTGCTTTTATAGCCAGTTCAAGTATCCAGTTTAATGCTCCTGGGATTATGTATTACATGTAATTTTCTAAATCTAAATTTTTCAGGGATTATATAGGTATCGAGATGTATTTTAGTGTATTTAATTATCTATTACTAATTGGATTTTCATCCATGAAAAAGATTACTGCTTGCCAGTGCTCTTTCAAAACGATCCAATTGCATGAAGTTTTGTTTTGTTTTGTTTTAATGCTGCTTTTCTGCTCCTAGCTTCGGGAAACAGATGCTAACTTGGGGAAAAGCTCCAGGGTTCTGACGGGGATGTTGCGAAGGTAAGAGCAAGGTAGGGACCTATCTTCGTCTCTCTTCCTTTTTTGAAACGATGTTTTTCATCTAGTTGCAACGGGGCATTTTCCAGGCATGTGAGCCTCTGCTCTTAGTACCCTGTGTCAAGACCCCTTTGAAATGACAAAGCACTGATATTAACTCTTGTTTGGACAGGGACACATACTGAGTAACTTAGATTAGAGAGAAGGTTTGAGCTAGGGGGGTTACCTCAAGCTATGGAAAAAATTAGGGTTAGACATGAAGTATTTTTTCATAGCCCGAGGAAGTCCCCATGGCAGGAGCAGACTGATTTTATTTTCTATTTCGATAGCCTCCTTCTTATAGAAGGAATGTGGGCCTGCCGGTGTCAGGAGCATACTTGGTATTAGCTGTGTTCTCTCTCTGTTGCCTTGTTTTCATTTCTTTCAGAGATGCTGTTTGGGGGAAATATTTTGATTTTACATATATTTAAAGATGCTTTTTAAAATTTAGAGAATATCTCAATAATCTGAATTCACATGTGTGAGCAAACAAATGTTAATGTTTTATGTCTGTCCCTAACCTTTGACTGATGGAAGATATTGGGGAGAGTGTGAAAATCAATGAATGAGTGGTTAGTATTCTGTATTCTGTATTTTTCGGAGGGAGGTGAGAAATGTTTTCATTGTTCTGAAAATCAGAGCCATTTTTTTTACGTAGGTATATTCAGCATGGCATTTTCTTAGATTCAGAATCTACCAAATAAGATTATCATTTATCATAACCTTCAGTTTGGGATGGTAGCTGGAAATGTGAACGAGGAATGGTGAGAATCGCCTCTAGAATAGCTGCATTGGAATTTTAAAGGAGAAATCCTTTGGCATTGATACTGTAGAGACACTATTTTAGAGTAAGGAAAGTCTCTGATCACGTATCTGTATATAATAATTTGCTAGAAGTGTGTTTGCTGTGTTCGCGATGGATGGCACGAGAACCAATCAAAGGTATAGTTGCTTGGTCTCCATCAGGCTGATCAGTAGCGAGCCTGAAGTTTCCGGGACACTTCCAACCAACACTGACGTAATTCCCCACGTCCCTGCTTTTCCTGCAGGCACAGTCCCGATTCAAAACCATAAGCCACCAGATTCTCTGCTTAAGAGTAATATGTAAATGACCTAGAAAAACTCAAAATCCACAGAGAAGTGGCAATTGAAAGGAATGCTTCAGTGCCTATAGACAATAAAAAAGAAAAAAAGGAAAAAAGTCCTCTTTTGCTTCCCTGGGAGGGCCCCTGCGATGTGAGCTGTAACGAATATTCTGCATATGTCTCCATTTTGTCAAATCTCATTAAAGAGTCCTCCTGCTTTATGTCAATTGAGCTGTCCAGAAATCATTCATCATTTTTAGTGTAAAAAAAAAATCATGTGGTTATTTAAATGATATCATATTAATGTTAAAGTTCAGCTGTCATTTAATGGTATGGCTTAATCAGATGTAGCATTTAGGAAAAATAGTTTATTCGGGCTCTACGTGGCTTTCAGGTTGGCAGATTCAAATAAGGATTTATGAGTTTCTAAACCAATGTATTTCTGTCCATGTTTCTGCTTGATGTACCTCACCCTTTTTGTGCAGGACACTGCAGACAGTTATTTCAACAAATAAAGCATCTCCTCATATTGTGTTTGAATAAATTTGCAAGTCATTTAGAGAGGGCGAAGCACAAACACTTCTGCAACCTTTGACTGGGCTTTCTGTAGGGCAATTAGACTAACGCGCCTGTTTCATAAGCCTATAGAGGGAAGTTACTCCGCGGAAATCTACTTGGGATCCTCTTTGTAGGCAAGCTCAATCACGGACTCATCTCCTTTTGGGATCTGTCTAGGGCATGAACAGAAATAAAAATCCCCAGGTGGGCATCACCTTGCTATGGTGAGCAAAGGAAACACTTAGCGCTCCCCCCCCGCCTACCCCTGGGCATATTGGTTATTGTGTTTTTTATAAGGCTCAACTGGGATCGTGGTATCAGCCAAGGTATCCAGATATTCTTAATCAATGCTGTAACCTAACTGAGTCTCTGGGGAACCAAATCCAGGTGGTGGTTTTGTTTAGTTTCTAATTACTATGCCACATGATATACAATTTATTTTGGACTTGGGAAAAGGCAAAAATATTTTATCAACTTCTTCACTTCATTGTTTTTATTGTTCCCTGGAAAACCAGTCTCTAGAGAAACGGAGCCAGCTTTTATGTACCAAAGTCTTTAATTGAATGCTCTGATTTTGCTTCCTCTGTTACATCTCTCGCATTCACAAGGCGTTCCCATCCAGCACTGGGGAGACTTTCTTTCAGAAAGAGAGATCACATTCTCTTTCCAAAAACTGCATAGCTACATCGTGTGTCAACAGTTGCTTCTGATTTAAGTAAAGGTATAATATCAAACCACATGCCCATCTGTCACCTTCACAAATGTATAAAAGAAATTAATGTCCTCTTTGTACAGTATAGGTGTTTACCTCCATACAACCTAAAGTTCTTTGTTTCCATATGGTAGATTCTGTATGACTGGGAATATTCTACACTATACTAAACCATGGGCTTAGTTTATTTAAAGGAAAGATTGCTGATTATTTTTATTTTTTTAAGCTTAGATCATTTTTAATTTTGTATATTGAACGGAAATGTCGTGCTGTGGCCCCTCATTTGGGTCATTTTATTTGTTTCGATTAGTCTTTTGTGAAGACAGGTGAAACTATTGTTCTATCAGTGCCATAGTCTGTATATAAACCCACCTGATTATCTGAGACTGACCAAAAGCAGATAGGGAAATAAAAATGAGTAAGTGGCAGCCACCACCATTCATGCTTTTTACTTTTTTATTACCATCACATGAGATTAAAAAATATATGTATTTCCCTTTTTTCTCCCTCCCTTCCTTCTTCCTTCTTTCCTTACTTCCTTTTTTCTGCTTATGCACTTCCTCAGTAATTATTTAATGCCTATGTACAAAGCCTTGGGGAATCCTCAAATGAAACCATTTTGATCCTTGCCTTCACTCTGCTAGAGAATACGTGCTTATAAAGTACTGGGGGAGAGGCGCCTGGGTGGCTCGGTCAGTTAAGCTTCTGACTCTTGATTTCAGCTCAGGTCATGATCTCAGGGTAGTTGAGATCAAGCCCCGCTTCAAGCTCCACGCCTGATGTGGAACCTGCTTAAGATTCAGTCTCCCTCACTCTTTGCCCCTCTCCCTGTTTGTGTGCTCTCTAAAAAAATTAAAAGGAAAGAAAAGAAAGAAATCCTGGGGGAATTCCTAAAATTACCTAAGTCTCAAGGAAGCTCTTGACGATTCTGTGACTCCAGTGAATGCTTACTGGTCATTAAAAAGGATGCCAGGAAAACAACCAATAAAAAATATCATTTAAATAGCTATAAAACCAGTATGTTTCAAAGTTTAGAGATGCAGGAGATGATTTATAGAATCATAAACAAGTTTTGAAAGGAACTAAACATGCAAAAAGTATTGAGATATGTCTAGTTTAGTGACATAGCCACTGATTCAACCAAAATAAATAAATAAATTATTCTTCACGTCACCACGCTATATTACCAAAAGGAAGAAAGCAAAGGAGAAAATTGGTCCATTTGAAATTATAATAGTGAAACTTGACATCAGAACACAGATATCGCTGATTCCTGGAAAGTAATTTTTCTTCTGTCTTGACAGAAGATGGAGAACTAGCTAGGGACAAACTGCTCATTTCCTGACTCTGTAGACAGAGTTTGGAATAAAGTGCTATTCAGATAATAATGAAAATGGTCATGAAACAAATGGCCATTCATGTGGTGACTGGGGCCAAAGAAATGAATTTTTCATTGACTCTCACAAAATGTGATTATTACAACTGCTTGTCTTAAAGCGTCACAAACAGCGCTGAGTGGCTCACATGTTGCTCTTCGTATATTTGTGTGTATATGTGTGTTTGTGTATTATTTTGTGTACAGCTGACTGGGAAGTCTTATTAGAGCAAACAGAGCTGGTGGTCAGGGAAAATGAAGATGGAATTTTGCAAGATTTTCAGTCAGAAAACAAAGACTTCGTGATTCTTTTTTTTTTCTTTACCTCTGAAGAGTGACTAATTTATCAGTAATAGTATATTTGTTTCTAAAAATATCTGAAGGATTTCTTGGGAATATAACAGTTAAGATTTGAGATCTCCTTTGACATAAATTTGGAGGACACGTTACAAAATATTGGCTCATCGTGCTGACAAAAGGCTTACAAAAAGAAACAGCATATGTTGTATTTTTTAAACATCTTTTTCTGTATGATTACCTTAATATTAAATAATTTCCTCTCTCCCACCCATGACCTGTATGTGCCCCTGTTGTTTAAATTTTTTTTCATTAAAAAAAAAATCAGAATGTTTCCTTCAAAAAGTGAATTCTCGTTTATCCTTCCGGCATGCCTGTAGTAACTTGTTTAAGCAGGTAGGGGTGAGAGGCCTTTTGTAACTAATCTATAAGATAAACAAACCAGAGAGTACTAAAGGCCGCTGGCCTAGCCAGCACTGCTCATACATTCTTATTTAATACTTGTATTTTTGTAAGAGCTACCTCTGAGTCGGTCTGGGGAATAATTGCCACCTATCATTGCTATCACATTTTACCTTTTCAACATGGTTTTGTTGCTTTGGTAGAATGACAGGTAAAGCATCTGGAAAATTTTAATGTACTGTCAAAATGATTTGTAAGGATAAGTATACCAGAAATAGCAATACAAGACCAATGTAAGCATTGGAAATAGAAATCTTTTTAGTAAACAAATTTATTCTTAAAGAAATATGCTGCAACTCGGTGTTCTGTTTTGTTTTGTTTTAATCTTCTTTGAAGATTCATGCTCCCTGCCCTCCCTCCTTTTGCTCAGGAAACATTTTGTTGTATTTTAATTATTCTTATTACAATGTCTAAAAATTCGGGGCGCCTGGGTGGCTCAGTCGGTTAAGCGTCTGCCTTCAGCTCAGGTCATGGT